ATATATAGATGTCGTTCTATTCTCTAATATATAAATATATAGATCTCGTTCTGTTATCTGATATACAAATATATAGATGTCGTTATATTCTCTAATATAGAAACATATAGATGTCGTTCTATTCTCTAATATACAAATATATAGATGTCGTTCTGTTGTCTGATATACAAATATATAGATGTCGTTCTGTTGTCTCATATATAAATATATAGATGTCGTTCTGTTGTCTAATATATAAATATACAGATGTCGTTCTATTCTCTAATATATAAATATATAGATGTCTTTCTGAACGTGAGTAGTTATCGTAGGTTTAATGTTATTATCACAGTGGGTTGAACAAGTTGGACGTGAGTAGTTATCGTAGGTTTAATGTTGTCATTACAGCGGGTTGAACAAGTTGGACGTGAGTAGTTATCGTAGGTTTAATGTTGTTATCCCAGTGGGTTGAACAAGTTGAACGTGAGTAGTTATCGTAGGTTTAATGTTGTTATCACAGTGGGTTGAACAGGTTGAACGTGAGTAGTTATCGTAGGTTTAATGTTGTTATCACATTGGGTTGTACAAGTTGAACGTGAGTAGTTATCGTAGGTTTAATGTTGTTATCACAGTGGGTTGAACAAGGTTGTTCAACCCACTGTGATAACAACATTAAACCTACGATAACTACTCACGTCCAAAAACCTACGATAACTACTCACGTCCAACAATGTTGTTATTACAGTGGGTTGAACAAGTTGGACGTGAGTAGTTATCGTAGGTTTAATGTTGTTATCACAGTGGGTTGAACAAGTTGGACGTGAGTAGTTATCGTAGGTTTAATGTTGTTATCACAGTGGGTTGAACAAGTTGGACGTGAGTAGTTATCGTAGGTTTAATGTTCTTATCACAGTGGGTTGAACAAGTTGAACCAGTTTTATTCATAAAACCATATTTGTGTCTGCATGAAGGTCAAAGAAAGGAGAATAATAATCCATCGGACAGAGTAATAGAAAATGGTGTATCTCCTGACAAAACGTTACCTTTTGTGTCCAGTCGACGTCAGCAGAACAAAAGGTCATCTCCGGTCATCCTCTGTTCTACGTCGAGCTTCCGTGCTCTACCATTGTCCAGTTCCGTCTCTCTACCTGGTCTGAATGTTAGTGACAACTATGACCCACCTAAGTGCCTGACTCCAATTCAAGGCCTGAAATCAAATACAGGTATTACATAAATTTATTACTTTATTTTTTCTGGAGTTTACTTATTTTTAGACTCTTTACTGAGACTCGTAGTCTACATGTTTGTACTGGAACCTAGTTCTAACATTTCCTAAAAGATGCGACCTCATCATTTCAACACAATGTTTTATTGATAACCAGGTAACCTACCCTTGTCGTCTGTTAAAGAGCTCGGAATGCCCTCTAGGTGTTTTGGTGCAAAGCGAAACGTGAAACAACTTGGAGAATGAAGTTTGACAGTGTTAGAAACTCTGATGTTTTGTTTCTTGATCCAGCCCTAGAAGTGTGTGATATATGTTCCTTATTGGAGAAAAACGATGTAAAATACACGTTATTTATGTTCTACTTATATTTTATTAAAGTAAAATTCACCAGATCAGAGAAAATAAGTGTCTCTTTATGACTCCAGGAAACAGTCGGTAATAGAAAAAATTCAAAGTTCTACAGCACCTGGCGGCAAACTTCATGACTCTAGAAAACAGTCGGTAATGGAAAAAATACAAACTTCTACAGCACCTGGCGGCAAACTTCATGACTCTAGAAAACAATCGGTAATGGAAAAAATTCAAACTTCTACAGCACCTGGCGGCAAACTTCATGACTCTAGAAAACAATCGGTAATGGAAAAAAATACAAACTTCTACAGCACCTGGCGGCAAACTTCATGACTCCAGGAAACAGTCAGTAATGGAAAAAAATACAAACTTCTACAAGCACGTGGTGGCAAAACTTCATGGCTCTAGAAAACAGTCGGTAATGGAAAAAAATACAAACTTCTACAGCACTGGTGGCAAACTTCATGACTCTAGAAAACAGTCGGTAATGGAAAAAAATACAAACTTCTACAGCACCTGGTGGCAAACTTCATGACTCTAGAAAACAGTCGGTAATGGAAAAAAATACAAACTTCTACAGCACTGGTGGCAAACTTCATGACTCCAGGAAACAGTCGGTAATGGAAAAAAATACAAACTTCCACAGCAACTGGTGGCAAATTTCATGACTTCCAGGAAACAGTCGGTAATGGAAAAAATACAAACTTCTATAGCACCTGGTGGCAAATTTCATGACTCCAAAAAACAGTCGGTAATGGAAAAAATACAAACTTCTACAAGCACGTGGTGGCAAACTTCATGACTCCAGAAAACAGTCGGTAATGAAAAAAATACAAACTTCTACAGCAACTGGTGGCAAACTTCATGACTCCAGGAAACAGTCGTTAATGGAAAAAATACAAACTTCTACAGCACCTGGCGGCAAACTTCATGACTCCAGAAAACAGTCGGTAATGGAAAAAATACAAACTTCTACAGCACCTGGCGGCAAACTTCATGACTCCAGAAAACAGTCGGTAATGGAAAAA